CGGGGATAAAGTATGGTGGGTTTTTCTGTTTGCAGAGATGGGGCGTTACTGAAATTACTCACAATCTGTCCGTGGGGGATTAACTGCTTTTATTGAAATTCTTTAATAGCTTTGAGCTCAGCATGAAGAGCGGGGCAGCGAACAAATGCCGTATCTGGCCGTAGAATCGTTTGGCTTTTTTTTGTTTTTTCCCCACTCCCGTTGGGAACCCACTGAGCAAACTTTTAAAGAGGTGATAATTGTGTTATTTGGGGTTAGATCCGTCCGTTTCTGAACGTTTCCGAAAGCGTGACGGCGCTTTCGTCGGTGCCAGCGATAGAATTTCCTCCGCGTGGATCTCTGGGTCAGTCGGAGAGAATTGCTGGGTCTGGGGCTCCTCGGAAAGAGGGAGGAGCATGGTGCTGCTCCCTCGAGTAGATCCTGTGGCTCTTGAGCTCTAACTCTTATTTTAAAGAGACCGCAGGGATGGATACGCTTCTCCTCTGGAATATATAAATGATGCCCTAACTTTACAGCTGAGATGGTTGTGGGATTTTTTCCCCCCTTGTTCTACTCCTCTGTATAATTTTTTTTGGTATTTTTACCCGACGACTCATCAAAAAGCTTAATATGTGAAATACTTCACTGTATTACAACTCGATGAAGAGTTACAGCGATTACAGAGCAGGGCAGGGGAACATCAACCTCGAGCATCGCTCTTCTAAGGAGCGAGAGCCCCTTGCCAAGCTGCTTCACAGGACGTGGGGACTAAGTAATTTATATTTTTTAATTATTTTTTTCCAATTAAGTCAGCTGATTGCATATAGATAAACAGCTGCACGGTTTTATTTATGTTTCTCCTGTGCATGGACACAGAAAGGTCCGGAAAGGTCATGAAGATAAGCAAAGCAGTAATACCCAGGTTGTGTGCCCGGAGCCCAGCTGTAAGGGCTTTAGTCGGTAATTTTTCTAAATTTGTACTCCACTTGGCTTGGTTTTAATACGTGAGGTGGGTATAGATGCTGTAAAAACGACTGGATTAAAGATCCAGCAATCTCGGCGTATTTGGAGAATTCGGGTCGTCGAAACAGCCTGAATTTTCGGGTAATTTACGGAGCCGTGAGTAATATTGATGGCAATACTCCCTGTTACGGGTTACCTGCCCTCTGGTGCTATAGCCTGAAGAGCAGCAGCTTTTCTACCCCGAGAGAGCAACCTGGATACCTCGCTGCTTCTCACCTTGAGTTAAGATGGGTGGAATTACAAATCGTCTTACTCAGCCGCCCTCGCTAGTGAACCGTTTCCTTAATTCCCGTAAATAGTTTGTGATTTCACCACTTGGTTAGTTACGCCTGTTGGGTTAGACCAGCTTTTCTCTAAATCAGTAACTTCGCCTCGTGGGTTCTTTGAACTCTATTCCTGAGGAGGGGAAAAAAAAAGGCAGGAGCTGAGGTTGTGTGTTTTGAGGCTGCCCCCAGCCGCGGGTGCTTTTTGCTCTCAGAGCTTTATTTTGAAGTATTTACTTGGAGTATTCACAGGTTGTTTCAGTCTCTACATTTTTTTTTTTCTTCCTCTTTCCAGCTTGAGGATGAGGCTCTGAAATACATCGGTGCACATTGCCCCGAGCTGGTGACTTTAAACCTTCAGACGTGCTTAGTAAGTAAACGCTTCCCGGGATTCCCCACCCGTCCCCACGTGTGCCCCCCGCCCCAGGCGGCGTCAGCCGGGCAGGCGGGATGGTTGTCAATTTAAGAGCCTTTTTTTAAAGGTAGTTGATGAAAAACGGCTTTTTTAGTGGCGTTCCGTAAGGAATGAGCCCCCAAAACGGCGTCGTAGCCTTCACAGTGTCAGATTCCATCTCGCTGCCCCGTGGGGCTTCCCCAAAAATTCCTCCCGTTGGGCTGGAGGGTTTGCCTGGGGATCCAGCCAGGCAGCTCCTCCGGTCTCCTCATAAAATTGAACGGAGAAGCGCAATTTCCCTGCACAGGAGGGCTCTAAACGGGTTATTCTGCACTGCCAAAACCATCTGTTCATGCCAAAAAAGAAATCGGAGCGGGCTCTGCGTACGTAGCGGCACGCGGGAGGAGAAAGCTGAATAGGTTCTTGGTTGCCTTAACTGAAAATCCCGAGGTCTGCTCAGTTTCTGTTTTATCTCCCTCCAGAACTCGGGCTTTAGGAGCCCGCGGACGCGCTCGCTGATGTTTTAAAAGCGCTTTTATTCTGTGGGAATGCGGAACCTCGCGCCTCCACCTGCGTCGTTATGGCTTGTGATGGTGTTGTTGTTTTTCTTGTAGCAAATAACAGATGATGGTCTCATTACAATATGCAGAGGATGCCACAAGTTACAGTCCCTGTGCGCTTCAGGCTGCTGCAACATCACCGACGCCATCCTCAACGCCCTGGGACAGAACTGCCCGAGGCTCAGGTAAGTTCTCCCGGCGGTTCCCTCGCCCCGTTACGCGTCAGGCAGAGGATTTCGGTGACGTCCCGAAGCATTGGAGCCGCTTTAGGCTCTGGAGGAGTTAAGGAAAGGGCTTTTTCCCAGGTGTTTGCTACGGGATGATCACAGCAGGTGCTCTTTTTTTTTTAAAAAAAAAAATTATTATTATTTTAAGGCTATTTTATTAGGTCAGGTTTCTTCAGGAAGGCTTTGCTATAATTCAGAAAATGCCAGGGGCAGACAGAAGAGATAGTTTTATCTGTGAGAGCCGAGTGGCCTGCGTTAAACACCCTAAAATACACATCTTCCAGGGGAAACCAGCACAGCTGTTCTCTCTGAGAGAGCCACGGGCAAAAAGTGCAGGATACGAGCGTACGGGAGCCAGTTTTAAAAGAGGAGGGTAAAATATAATTTTGGTTTCAACTATTTTTTCCATTCAGCCTCAGCTTTACAGCGTTAAGCTCCTTGGAGCGGGAGCGCTCGAGGCAGCCTTTCCGCTCTCCAAAGGCAGAAAAACGTGAAGGAAACCTCCGCGGGGCTGCCAGAAAGTTTCCCCGTTGTCTCAGAAAGGATTTTAAAAGTGCTTTAGTCCCACGTTTGTCGGATTCGACCGAAGAGTTCCCTTTTAGCCTGACTGCTTTATTTTTTCTTCCCCTGGGAGCTCCGCTTGGCTCTACAGGGCGGATGCTCGGGGCAAATTATCCTCTCAGAGAGCAGGACCTGAAGCGGGTCAGACCGTTCTGTGGTGCTGGAAGCTTTTAGTGAAACGCACTGAAAAGCCAAGTGACTCCACCTTGGTTCTTGTAAATTCTCTCTGTGCAGGATATTGGAAGTCGCGAGGTGTTCGCAGCTGACGGACGTGGGCTTTACCACTCTCGCCAGGGTACGTGTCTGTGCTTTCTGCTTGTGATGGATGGGGACAAACAGCAGCTTCCTCCTGGGTGCAGGTTTCTTGTAACACTTTTGGTCTGTACTTCCTACGAATTAAAAAAAAATAGTCCTTTAAATGAGTGAAATTCCTGGATTTTTCTGCTCGGTGCTGTTTGTAAAGCAAACTTTCCCAGAGAAAAAACCTTATCTTATTTTTTAAAGAACTGTCTTTGTTGTGGTTGCGTTTATATTTGCTGCCTGAACTTTGCACTCTCTTCCTTTTTTTTCCTAGAACTGCCACGAGCTTGAAAAAATGGACCTGGAAGAGTGTGTCCAGGTAGGAGGTGCCACCTCAGGCTGGTTTTTCTCTCTCAACGTAGTCATGGCAGGGCAGGAGGATGGTGGAGAAGTAGCGGGTTGTGTCCAGATGAGAACTTGGTTTAGAATTCTGAGTAAGAGGATGGGATGTATTTAGGCAAGAAAATCCTGCTTTTGGATAGGAAAAGAGTGCGTTTGTGGTTAGTTTGTCTCTCGTAGTAGTGGCTGCTGCTGTAAATAGGAAAAAAAAAAGCTTTAAGAGTAATCGATGTGTCCTGGAGTTCGTGTAATAGACGTGACACAAGGTCAAATCTTGGTTAGTTTTGAGGAGTTCTCTACAGTGTGACCCTGCCCTGTGCTGTGGGGCACAAGCTGTTGGCTGGGAACAGCTTCAAGGCGGCATTTGCAGGGGAAAACAGCTGAATTGGCTCAAAATCCTGCAGAAGACAGAATCTCTGGCCCCAAGGAGAGGTTTGAAATCAATTTGGATAAAAGGCAGCGGAGATTTTGCTTCCTGCTGCCCCGAGAACACCGCGACGCCGGTGCTCTGGGCTTCCTGGTGTTCCCGGGGCAGAAATTCGGGAGATCACAAGAGGAAATTACACCGGGCCAGGCAGGAAGGGATTTAAATTAACCCAAAAAACGGAGGAATTAAAATTGGGCTGAGTGCTTGGGCTGATGACTGCGTTGAACAGAGACATCCCAGCAAGTTGCCTTCTGAAGGGTTTTAGGTCAGAAAAGCCGTTGTGGTGAGTCTCTTTTCTTCCTGGAGAACAAAGAGGAACAGTTGGGCTGTCGAAGGGGATTTGAACACCTCGTGTGCTCCTTTAGCACAAACATTTAGGAGACTGGGCTGTTGAAGGGCTCTGCTCGCTGCCTCTCTAAATTGTGAGCTTATTTCATGGGAAGCTACGTAAAATTAAAAAAAAAAAACAACAAAAAAAAGCAATACCTCTGCCTTAACAGTCCTTGAGGGACTTAAAGGAATTGGCAGAATCTGAAATTTGGTCACGCAGGAGGCGAGTTCCCGTGGGGAGTGCTGTCATGGAATGGGCAAAAGTCGGCAATTTTTATTTCGTAAGGGAAGGGAGAAAAGTTTTTGTGCAAAGAACCCGGCATGAAGAGGCTTTATTTTCCCCTTCTTTTCCCCCGCAGATAACAGACAGCACGCTCATCCAGCTCTCCATCCACTGTCCGCGGCTCCAGGTCCTGGTGAGTGTCGGAGGGTAGACGTTCAGACCTTTTCCTCCCGCGGGGGGGAGCCGTCCAGCCTTTTCCCTCCCGCAGACGAAGGGATTTGAAGCGCTGCCCGCGGGGATTTGTCTCTCTGTGACTTCAGAGAGACCTTGCAACAGCTCGGCCGCAAACGTGACCCTGCAGAAACCATTGTCCCTCCTCTCCCGCGAGCGTGAGTCGCGCGCCAGGCACCCAGGGCTCCCCGAAAACAGCGTCAGGACACTCGATTCTCCGGGCACCAGCCCGTAACCCGGGCTGTGAGCCTGAGACTGCAGCCCCGCTCAGCTCTGGCACAGAGCTGGGTCTGGAAATGAATCTAGGTCTAAATTTCTGTGGCTTTTAGTCTCGGTCTCCTCCGCGTCCCTGCGGGTGCTGCTCCATTGCCACCGTGAGAAAACCCATCCGGGGTGGGGGCGCTGCAGGTGGTGGCTTCTCCGGGCTGATGTATCTCCTGGCGTCAGCCCTGTCGTCTCCTCGAGAGCTTCTAAGATGCAGCTCCCCACCCCCCCAAAAAAAATAATGATGCACCGAGTCGGTGACATAATATTTCTGTCACTTCTCAATCCCCGCGATGGAGTCTCCCCCACAGTGCATAAGGCTCCAGATGTTCCAGAGGTGGTTTCCCCGACAGCAGGGGTGTGTGTTCTCTTCCTGGGGGGTGTTTG